AAGAGCTTCAAGGTGAGCACCCAGCTCCTCACACACCTGCACATCCACACTGGGGAACGACCCTACACATGTAGGGAATGTGGGAAGAGCTTCGGGGACAACTCCAACCTGATCAAACACCAACGCATGCACACTGGGGAACAGCCCTACAAGTGCTTGGAATGTGGGAAGAGCTTCAGCCGGAGCTACCACCTCCTCAGCCACCAGCACATCCACTCTGGGGAACGACCCTACACGTGTAGAGAATGTGGGAAGAGCTTCAGGCAGAGCTCCACCCTGATCCAACACCAGCGCATCCACACTGGGGAACGGCCTTACATGTGTAAGGAATGTGGGAAGAGCTTCATGGACAGCTCCAACCTCCGCCACCACCAGCTCATCCACACAGGGGAACAGCCCTACAAGTGCTTGGAATGTGGGAAGGTGTTTCAGACCAGCGGGAATCTCCTCAGGCATGAGCAGACACACACAGGGGAGAGGCCCTTCCGCTGCACCGACTGCGGGAAGGGCTTCAACCGGAACTCCACTCTCGTCACCCACCGGCGCCTTCACACCGGGGAGAGGCCCTACAGGTGTGGGGAGTGTGGGAAGAGCTTTAACTGGAGTTCCAACTTGACCAGACACAAACGGACCCACAAGTAAGGGAAGCCCTACAAATGCCCCCACTATGGGAAGAGCTTTGGCTGCTACTCCAACCCCGAATGACCCCCCTGATGGTGAGGCAACCCCTGGAGTCCAGTGACTGTCAGTCCATCCCTTTCTACCAGAAAGGGCCAGTCCCCTTTGCCAGGGGCAGGTTGTGCCAACAGAACCCTTCTTGGGGGGTGTGTGGAGATTCCTGCCTTGGCTGGGACCCCCCAAAGTCACTGCTGGAGGTTGAGAGCAGAGATCTCCCCCCGAGCGTTGGTCTGGGGGAGTTCCATCCCTCTCTAATTCATAATTCTTGCTTTGTTTCAGCTTGAGTAGAATTGCTCCAACAATTGCTTTAGTGTAGAGCACTGTCCTATCTTATGTTGCAGTACTGGTAGTTTTAGTGTTTCTATTGTGCAGTAAATAATTCTGATGAAGATCTTTTTTCTGATCATTTTTAACCCTAAATAATTCATTTCTATCAGTAGAGCTGATTTGCCATCCTTAAAACCTGGAGGACAAAAGTGGTTCAGTCCCACCTCTGTAATTCCCCTAAACTGACCCTGTTGACATAACCCAGGGCTGAGATTGGATCCAGCAGCCCCAGCACGCCACAGTCAGTTGGGAGCTCAGGGGGCCACCCCCCTTTCCCAGCCCCCCTGTGCCCAAAGACCCCCATGGGACTGTCAGCCCTGCCAGACCACCCTCTCTTTTCCACCCTTCTACCTGTTCTTTCTACTTTTCCATGGTCCCCCCAGGATCACCCTGGGCATCCCAACCTCTGCATTTTTCCCCTCCTCTCCCACCCCTTCCACATCATCCTCCCACTTCCCAGCCCCCTCACGCTCAGTTTTGGGTCCCACCCTGCCCTTTCCCCACTCTTCTCACCTCTCCCATCCATTTCCCATGAA